CCCTGCAAACTCTATCAGTTTTTCCGAGTGTTTACAAGGCGGGTACATGTACACGAAAGTGTTTGACGCATGTGTCTTCAAAGCATGCAAAATTCAGATTATTATGTAGCACAGGTAGCTGACCTGTCAATCAAATCAGGGGTTTCAAATTCAGGTTTCACACCTTTGAAAATATATTGGTCATAGGGATATTCTCACACCTATCGGAGTTTCAGCCCAAACGATGATATACACATAAATTCAAGAATTCACCGACTGATCATGACACGAGTCATTTCCTGTTTATTATACATTTGTGTATACATGCAGCATACTGTCATGCAAAATTGTACATTTTGTGGTGGCTGATATGAAATTATCAGAAGTGTAAAATAATGGTGAACATTCAATAAAAACGGTTTTTACTGCATAACATGTTGAGCATAAACATAAGCATAAGGTTACTTTAGTTCTACGAAATTTTGAGCTAATTATTCAATTAAAATCAAGTGAAAACTGGCGTTGACATTCGACTGTTTTTTAAGTACCCATTGCAGATTACTGTAATTCATGATAGCTCAAGTATAGTGACCCACCCCCTCCCAAAAATATGTAAGTAAGTAAATTGTTTATTATAGTGATATGTGTTATACAGTACAATGAAAAACATGTAAAACATGCAATTAATATCCACACACCCGGCCCATCGGACCTATATGTCACTTTTAACAAAATATATGAAATATATACACAGATATTAAGCATGGCGTTTTTATACAACAGAGATTGCCTGTGCATGTATGAATTGTATAAATATTTTGACATCTGCCTAGGAAAATTTGTTAAAAGAAAGGTTACAGCGTTAGTGCAGTGTCTATGGAAAGGCAGCTTCCAACCGTGTAATCGGTGTAAATCTGTGAACCCAAATAGTAGTAACGAAGTGCGCGATTCTGTACCATCTCAATGCAGTGATAGTTTCGAAGACCCCATATTTCACTACAATAGTCCCAAACTGCCGGTGCTATACAATTCAGAAAAAGTTTTTTCGAAAGTTGAAATCCCTATTTCTTTATATGGACGAATTTTGGAAACCATCCCTCCGAAAGCACGTCCACCTGCTTTTGACAAAGTATCGGCATTATTTTAGAAACTAGGCTTTTCATGGAATATAACACCAAGGTATTTGTAATCCGACCTGTATTGTAGAATGTTATCGTTGGAAATCACTGCGGGATCCTCATTTACGGAAATGCACTACTGCTGATTTTTAGCCGGGCTCATTGCTCGTAGAGCAATGCCCGGCTATTGCGACGGTGAGCAACAAGAAATGCTGCTTCTTCACCGCCAAATTGAGTTTACGAATAAAAATATAGTACGTACAGTGTACGCCCAAATTCCTTCAAATTGTTTATTTGATGTACAGGTTTTGAGACAATTATATCAGCTTTTATTTTGCGTTAGATGCATAACTGTAGCTCCCAGAAAAATATTTTGAAAGACCAGAGAGCTACAGTCAGACCACCCCCACCCCCCCCTTTCCATCTGCATTCTACATGAACCCTTCTCTTCGTCATTGAATATGAAATATTGAAATATTTTATACATACTTCAAAAAGTTAGTTAATTCTGAAGATGGTCCAAAAATGGTATAGTTAATTAAACTTCGCCAGAATCTTCGATCCTTGCATGTTACTTAACATTGTGGGTGGTCGGAGCCCGTAGCCGGGATTGTTAAGGTACTGGTACACGAAGGAAAGCAAATATACGCAAAAATCTACAGATCTAGCGAACAGAAAGGACAGAGTTTTTTCTTCAAATTATTAGACGTATAAATATCTTTATTACAGAAAAATCTTTCTCTTTCCTTCTCTCTCTGTGTACAAAAATAAAGGGGGTGTGTGAGGTTTCAACCACCGACCCACTCTGGATCCGCCCGGCAATGATATGGGCCCCTGTTTTTACAAACTTAGCCCAGCTTAGTTTTTTTTTTATTTTCACGCAAAATACGGAAACAGATTTATTTTTATTTTTTTTTTTTTTTAATCGGAGTGTGCAGATTGTTTCCTTGAAAATGTGATTTACTACTTACGTATAGTAGTTCGCTATAACACCTCCTCCCATGAAAATATTTGGTTTTACTATTCAAAATAAAACAAGAAACACAGAAATAATTCCCTTTATGTCACATTTTCAACTTTCTGAGCATTTGTAAGTTCATTTTTTTAAAGTAAATTCCAAAATCTATATTTTCAACTTCGGTAGGTCTTATTTTATAACAATATAAAACAGAAATCAAACAGAATGCAGTTTGTAAATGGTATGATACCTGTATAAATTGGAAAAAAACCTGTATCCCCCCCCCCCCCGAGTTCGATTACGGGGGCAAATATAGTGTACACCGTGATAAGATCCAAGTCAGTAAAACGCTTTATTAAAAAGAGAATGAAATCGAAAGTAAGAACAAGAACTGAAGTAGATTGAAGGGATAATTCACGAAGTGTAAATCATTCTGTTTAAATTTCTTGATTTAACTTGTGTGAATTACTCCATTAACATCACCACCAACTTGACTAAGACCAAAAGTTAGCAGACGGAAGTGCCTTGAATATGTCAAACTGTAGGTGCGGTTAGCATGGTTCGTACCGTGCAAACAGATTAGCACAACTTGCACACGTTAGGCCACATTCTGTCACATAACAGTCTATCTGATAACATTTTGATTGAAAAAAAAGGGCTATCTTGTCAGTGTAAGAATTTTAAATAAGATTTGTTCAGATAATGGCACACTATTTATAGGGGAGTTCATAAAGAAATATGTATATTTGTAGCCATCTTTCAAAAATCTTCCCAAGAACCATTCATTGGCCCATAAAAGTTTAAACTTATGTGAAACATTTATTACATAGTGTAGATTCAAGTTTGTTCATATCATGACCCCGGGGATTAGGGTGGGCCACAATAGATCAAAGTTGTACATAGGAATACCCTGTATTCTTTTTTTTAGAAAATCTTTTTATCAAGAACAAAGATTTGATCAGTCATTTTGATATGGAAGTATTATCATCCAGTACAGATTCAAGTTTGTCACAATAGAGAATCAAAGTCTTACACAGCAATATATATATATATATATATATATATATATAAATGTAAAATCTTATTTTTGATAGAAGCAAAGCCATGGTTTAATCCTTTTGACATGGAAACATCCTCAGGTAGTGTAGGTGAATTTTTCTTGTTCAAATCAATGCAATCATGACCCTAAGGAGTAGGATGGGGCCACAGTAGGGAATCAGAATTTTACATATTAGGAAAACCTAGCAAACTGGGTCTTCAGATAACGTCAACTAAAAAGTAGGTCACAAAGACTTACATTTTGAATTTTGTGGCTATATTTAAATATTTCCATTTCTAATTTTTTTCTCTGTGATAACTCTTTGAAAGTTAGGGGAGTTTATTTTTTTTATAATTCTGCCAGAATATAAATTAGGCAGCCAGGTCAATAGGTCAGGAGCTATGCATGCAAATCTCGTGCGCATCTGTCTCTGTGTCTGATGCTAAGGAGGCCAAATAATATGCATGTAAATCTCGTGCAGCTGTCTTTGTGTTTGACGTGATTTGGCGAGGACTACTGAAATTGGCATGGGAGTCCTCGTGTAATTTAAATCCATTAGTCTACAGTTTCAAAGTCTAAGTCTACAATTTTATTTCACAATGAAATGGAAATATAAGGAATCACTGTCTAGTTAATAAAGTATGCAAGTGACATCAACGATAGTGGGAAACATGGCGTAATTTATGCATAATGGGCTTAGCCCGTTATGCAAATTATCCCATGTTTCCCACTATCGTTGATGCCTTGGCATTCTACACTTACTAGACAGTGATTCCTTAAAGGTCTTGTGCAAGGAAATAGCATCAAAATGAACTTAGTCAATTGAAGTTCCATATATACAGAGACGATCTTTTTTTTCTTTTTTCATTTTTGGCAATTTGTTTTAGGCCTACAGTATTAAAATTGGACTCATGTACTAGGAACATCATTTCTTTAGCAGAATTATCCCACTGAATTAAAAGGAACTCTTTTTTCAGGTGCGCATGATGCAACTTCCTTGATGATGTGTAGGCTGTTTGTCAACATGTGAATCCAACGTGCATTTCTGTGTAGGTATGTTTACTGCCGATTTTCTTTCTTAAAAGCCGCATAAGGCATATTTTTTCTGATCTCAAATTTTTGTTTAAGCATTAATCTTTATTTTCTCTTTCATGAATTTTCTGCTGAGAGTTGAATAAATTAAATAATTCAATTCAAGCTATATAGTAATATATAGTGAAATTATTTCCTTGTGTGAGATTGGAAGAGGGACAGGTAACTCTCATTTTCACTAAAATTTCTCTGATTTCAGGAGTTGTCTCCCCTTGAAAAGATCAATAATGGTGGATAAACAATGCGGCATGCAGTCTGGTCACCAACGGACAGTTTTGACACTGTATACCTGTATTTCTACCAATCTCAGTAACCTTTGTTGTGATCACACAGGTAAGAAAAACAAGATTTTTAATTCAAATAATTTTAATGAGCTAAATAATTAAGAATATAACATTTTTACATGTACAGACTCTCTCGTATAAGAAAATGTCACATTTTACACATACAATAGTACATTATTTACATGTCCACATTTTCCCCATTTACACAGTTGAAAATAATCAATGCATAATGTACCATAAAACAATTATTACATGTAAGATAGTTTACAAAATATATTTTAAGTACAAATTTTATACATTTGAAATGCATGTACATATCATCACCCCCCCCCCCCCCCACACCCCTTCAAAGTCTTACAACTTCCTTTTTAATTTTGGATCTGTTAATGATTTACTGTAAGTGTCTTTAGATTTTTTATCGAACAGCTGATATCTTTTAGATCTGTAGTATTTTCATTGAAATTTATATTTTAAAAGTTTTTGTTTCATTTTAAAGTAATTTTGTCTATTTTGTTGTTGTTTTTAAAATTAGATGATGGACCACTCTACTCTCTTTTACAACAGGTGCCCCTACAGATTCACAAAGTTCCAGTGTTGAGTTTTCATGACCCCTATTCAGTGAGTGCACAACTTTATGTATTCTACTTTCAAAATTTCTACTACTTGTAATACATTTTGGATTTGATTTTAAATATGCCCTATTTACAGATTCAGATTTTTGTGTACAAGCATGATATTTGATTCTATCAACTGAAGATTACTTTGTCCTAAAGTCAAATTTATACAGTCCTTTAACATACGTTTGTCTTTTTCTGCCATGTTTAATTCAAAGTCACTAGGCAACACTGAAGATTTCCACTTATTGCTTTTCAGTCCAAGACAGGAAAAGGAATAGAGTTGACAGGACTTCTTGCACTGTCCCTGGTAGCAGTTTATGAGGGAACCAACCACAGTAGACATAGCACGCTTCATCAAAGGTAAGTCGCTGGAGTAGTGTTTGTAGCAATCCTCGTACTTTGTCCTGCATCGAAGCTTCAGGTCCAAGGCAGATCTTCTCTGCATGGATTCTCTTATGGCCTTGGTTCTTCCCGGAAACATGTGACTGCTGAATGGAGCTTTAGCACTCTGTTTTCTTTGAGAGTCAAAGAAGTGACGCAAGTCCTTAACGTTTTCAATCAAATGTCCTTGTTTTTCAGATGCACCAGATGCAGCGGCTTTGTCTCCATCACTGGTGAAATGGGATATAAGTGGCTGGTCATCACTTTGTAACTCACCAACATAATTAGCGACCCATCTCTTCTCGTCTCCAATGGTGGTCTCCGGAGGAATGGTTGCAGTGCAGTCTTCTTGTCTTGGGCAGGTAACTTCTTTTCCTTTGCTTCGTAGGTGTGCGCCTTTCTTACATAGTTTATTCACACAGAAAACTGCTACCACATTCTTCCTTTGAGTTACGGTATACTGTGGTTTCATCAATTTTCGTGGGAATCAATTTTCGTGGATTTTATTAAACATTCGTTTTCGTGGATACGTAATTTCGTGGACAAAAGCATTGCTTATACAAATGAATAGCATATTTCTTAATTCAATGAACATTTGAATTCGTGGATCTGTTCAACAACGAAATCCACGAAAAATGGTGCTCAACGAATATTGATGAAACCACAGTATGTCATTTGAGTGGCAGCTTGGAATGGGGTTTTCCCAATGGCACTGAAGGTGGCGTTATTTTACCGAACATCTCCTTCGGCTCTGATGGGGGTATCCGGAAGTCCACATTTTTCATTAAGTTCTTGAATATTTTGCCGAATTTTCTTCATACTGTTTTTATTTACATCGGTTATAATTTTCCCCACTTTGTTCCAGGTCTGTTGCATATTGGCAGCTGACGCTGGTTCAATATTTGCACCAAGAAGCATACCACGCATACCCTCTGTTGTAAGACTGGTACCCAGGTGACCGACAGCCATGGCCACATTCAGCTGTGCAGCTCTTCGTCCCCTGCCAGATCTTCTCACCTCTTCATAAAGCTTTTCTCGGTGACTGGTATAGTGGCACTTCTTACATCAAATGGAAAGGATCCATGCCAGGCCTCGTTTTTCCTCCCCATGCTGATTCCAGTCCAGTGGACCATCACAGTCTGGAAACTTACGTGAGTGTTTCTTTAAATGCATTGTTCCACAAATTAACAGTCTTTTCTAGGTGAAGTACTTTTGAATTTGGGTCATCTGACACAGATTCCATGTAGGTGTCCACTGGCTGGACTTCACTTGGCCCGGGTCGTAAAAACTTCATCTCGCTGCTTCGGCTCTTTCCATCTATAACTGCAAAAAACCCACCTTTCTGTGGCCGTACAATGTCCTAAAACTCTTCTTTACTTAGTCTTCTTATGGGAACTAGAGATTGGACTGGGCTGGTGGTCCCTATTTTCTTCTGGCCTTTGTTGTGAGGAATACTTCGTTTTTAGGTCACCTGAGTAACTCAGGTGACCTATTGCTATCCGTTTTCTTCCGTCGTCGTCCATCGTCCGTCGTGTGTCGTGTGTTAACATTTGAACATTTTCAGCTTCTTCTCTATAACCACTGAACCAATATCAACCAAATTTGGTATACAGCATCTATGGGTGAAGGGGAACAAAAATTGTGAATTTCATGGTCCCAGCCCCCCCTGGGGCCTGAGGGGTGGGGCCAAAACCACTAAAATTAATGAAATCTTTAAAAATCTTCTTCTTTACTCCTGGACATCAAGCAAGGAAACTGTTGGCATGAATGTAATGAGCATTGAGTCCTCTACCAAAATTGTGAAATTCATGGCCCCAGGGTCAGGGGTTCTAGTGCTAGGGTGGGGCTCTATAGATTATATAGTGAAAATGCATTATTTCTTTGAAAATCTTCTTCTCTGCTCCTGGGTATTAGATAAACTAACTAAGCACATAGTTATGATGAGCAAGAGTGCCTCTTCCAGATTTGTGAATTTTATGGCCCCAGGGTCAGGGGTTCTGGTGTTAGGGTGGGGCTCTATATTTTATATAGTGAAAATGCATTATTTCTTTGAAAATCTTCTTCTCTGCTCCTGGGTATTAAATAAACTAACTAAGCACAAAGTTATGATGAGCAAGAGTGCCTCTTCCAGATTTGTGAAATTCATGACCACAGGGTCAGGGGTTCTAGTGCTAGGGTGGGGCTCTGTAGATTATATAATGAAAATGCATTATTTCTTTGAAAATCTTCTTCTCTGCTTCTGGGTATTAAATAAACTAACTAAGCACATAGTTATGATGAGCAAGAGTGCCTCTTCCAGATTTGTGAATTTTATGGTCCCAGGGTCAGGGATTCTAGTGCTAGGGGGGGGGGGGGGGCTCTATAGATTATATAGTGAAAATGCATTATATTTTTGAAAATCTTCTTCTCTGCTCCTGGGTATTAAATAAACTAACTAAGCACATAGTTATGATAAGCAAGAGTGCCTCTTCCAGATTTGTGAATTTTATGGCCCCCAGGGTCAGGGGTTCTGGTGTTAGGACGGGGCTCTATAGATCTAGTGAAAATGCATTATTTCTTTGAAAATCTTTTTCTTTGTTTCTGGGTTTTAAATAAACTAACTAAGCACATAGTTATGATGAGCAAGAGTGCCTCTTCCAGATTTGTGAATTTTATGGCCCCAGGGTCAGGGGCTCTGGTGTTAGGGCGGGGCTCTATATTTTATATAGTGAAAATGCATTATTTCTTTGAAAATCTTCTTCTCTGCTCCTGGGTATTAAATAAACTAACTAAGCACATAGTTATGATGAGCAAGAGTGCCTCTTCCAGATTTGTGAAATTCATGGCCACAGGGTCAGGGGTTCTAGTGCTAGGGCGGGGCTCTATAGATTATTTAGTGAAAATGCATTTATTCTTTGAAAATCTTCTTCTCTGCTTCTGGGTATTAGATAAACTAACTAAGCACATAGTTATGATAAGCAAGAGTGCCTCTTCCAGATTTATGAATTTTATGGTCCCAGGGTCAGGGGTTCTGGTGTTAGGGCAGGGCTCTATTGATTATATAGTAAAAATACATTCATTCTTTGAAAATATTTTCCTTTGCTTCTGGGTTTTATGACAATGTTCCAAGTATATATATATTTATGATGAAGAAAGGTGCATCTAGCAAAGTGGGTTTTTTTTTATGCCCCCAGGGTCAAAGGGGGGGGGTTACATAGTCTGAAAATAAATTAATGCTTTGATTACATTTGCAAAATTTTGAAATATGTGGCCCGGGCCATGGGTCAGTGGGTGAGGTGCACAACTTGTTATAAAGTGGAAGTGCATTTTCTCTTTGTTACTATGATCAACCTCTGGGTATTAAGTAAATAGAGTAAGCATGCTAAGTTAATAATTATGATAAGCAATGGTGCCTCTTTCAAAATTGTAAATTGTGAATTTCATGGCCTCCGGTTTAAAACATGAACCAAATATAATTGTTTGAACGTTGTTGCACAATACTCAGGTGACCTATAAGGCCCGTGGGCCTCTTGTTTATATTGATGTTGATGCAACCATTTTGGTCCTTTTTGTGGCATGGTAATTATTGAACTGTATAATTGTAGACTTTTTCTAAGAATATGCTATTGTATGTGGTGCACATTTGTAATTATTGTAAACTTTTGTGTTGTTTATTCACTTTAGAGCTGCCTGGTCTTATAAGAGAAACTTCATTCTTTGATGACTGATGGAAAAGCCTCATCACCCCACAGTGGCCACATTGGTTAAGAACCCCTTATCTTAATCACCAGCCATTAATCAGTGATCACTGTTGTCAAGGCTCCAAGGTACATTATTGAAGTCTCTATTGACACCATTTTTTCCAGTCTCTGACTTTGTTTTAGAATTAAGATTTTCACTTTTTGGCTAATTAATTCCTTAAAAATCAGTTAACTTCCTGTTTCTTAGCTAATTAGAGCTCATTAATTAGAGTTGAAATTATGTTTTAGCAAATAGCCAAAAACTACAATATTTCAGCTTTCATTTCATTCAAATCTTTTTTCTCAATACTTCACTCATTAAATTTTTTCAAGTTTTGAAATTAATATGCTTAAAAATGAATTTGTACAGAAATTTTTCATCCCTTAAGGACAAAGATAAATTTTGATGCACTAGTATATGAAAGATAAATAACTCGGAGACATTTTGTGCAAATTTCATTTAGTTTCATTAACTTTTAGTTGTCTTAAAGGTCTTACGCAAGGAAATAGCCAATCAAAATGAACTTAGTCAATTGAAGTTCCATATATATAGAAACAATTTTTTTTCTTTTTTAGCTCTTCTGAGCCAAAGGCTCAAAGAGCTAATGCTATGGCTATTTGTGCAGTGTGCGTAAACTTTTTAGAATATTGGCCATAACTCAAGAGCCCTTTGCCAATCAGTACCAAATTTGTCACAGGGTATCCTTGGCCCAAGGGCTACCATTTATACTAAAATAAGGGTTTGGACCCTTAAACAAGGGGAGATAATCAGGAAAACAAAACCAAAAGTACTGGTTGCTAAAAAATCTTCTTCTCGATAACCACCGGGCAGATTTTTAATAAACTTACATACAAGGATCAAGATATGTGGAAGATTAAAATTTGCACGGGGAATTACCCTGGAGCAAAGGGCGTGGTCTCAAGGTCACTTCAAAGTTGACCTAAATTTACAATTAATAAAAACGTATATATTTTGCTTACTATAAGGACTAGGATCATCAAATCTTGTAAGTTGATGCATCTTACGACTTCACATCATATGAACTTAAAAGTAGGTCACGGTGACCTAATTTTTAAATTTTGCAGGGATTTATTTTCAAATTGATTTGAAGGCATATTTTGGACACTTTAAAGCCTATGATCATAAAACTTTGTCAGTTGATGCATCTTGGGTCCTCGAACAATGTCAACTTAAAATTAGGTCACGGTGACCTACTTTTTGACTTATTTTTTTAAAAACATTAAATCCCATTATTTCAGACATTGGGAGGTTTAGAATCATCAAATATTGTACTCTGATGCATCTTGGAACCTTAAAACATATGTATGAAAAAGTAGGTCACTGTGACCTACTTTTTGAATTTGGGCGACATTTGTTTTCAATTGTTTAAAACGCATATTTTGATTACCTTCAGACCTATGATCATCAAACTTGGTCAGTAGATGCATCTTGGGTCTTTAAAAAATGTCGACCAATATGTAGGTCACGATGACCTACTTTCTATATTTTATGGCTATATTTAAGTATCTTAGGTATTTATTGGCTTAGAATCATCAAACTTTGTGAGTCGATGCATATTTGGTTTTCAGACAGTGACGACCAAAAAGTAGGTCACGGTGACCTACTTTTGACATTTTATGGCTTTATTTAAGTATCTCCGGTACTTATTGGCTTAGAATCATCAAACTTTCTGAGTTGATGCATCTTGGGTTTTCGGAGGATGTCGACCAAAAAGTAGGTCACGGTGACCTACTTTTGAATATTTCAGGCACATATTAGCTTAGAGTCATCAAACTTTGTCAGTTTAGGCACCTTGAGTTTTCAGAGAATGTCGACCAAAAAGTAGGTCACTGTGATCTACTTTACACATTTTATGGCTATATTTAATTATATCTGTTACTTATTGGCTCAGAATCATCAAACTTTTTCAGTTGAGGCATCTTAGGGTTTCATTGAATGTCCAAGAAGAAGTAGGTCATGGTGACCTACTTTTGAATGTCTCAGGTACTTACTGGCTTAGAATTATCAAATTTTGTTAGTTTAGGCATTTTGGGTTTTTGGATAATGTCGACCGAAAAGTAGGTCACCGTGACCTACTTTTGACATTTGATGGCTATATTTAATTATCTCTGGTACTAATTAGCTTAGAATCGTCAAACTTTGTTAGTTGATGCATCTTGGGTTTTCAGAGAATGTTGACTAAAAAGGAGGTCATGGTGACCTACTTTTGAATATCTCAGGTACTTATTTAATTAGAATCATCAATTTTGGTCAATTAATGTAT